CACTGTCAGCAGATTCAGTGAGTCAACTGGGATTTCTTAAAGGGCAGAATTAGTGAAAAGAAAGTTTATTCCCACATTAAAAAAAGGGAAGCATTTTTACAATGGTGGGAGTTTGGTCTCTGATAAATGATAACATTTGATGGTTTAAAAATAGAACAATTGAAAGAGAGGATAATTAATGTTGATGGGATAGATGTAATGTCAATTATAAATATTATTTGTTTGATCATTACTGTTTTATCATTTAAAAAGTTGGTTAATACGAGTGCCAAAATAAAAGTTTTTTTAAAAACATGTTAAAACAGATCATAGAGATATTCAGACCCAGAGAGAAGAATTTAAAGGAGAACAAATCTCAACATTGCATTATAAGGTTACAGAGAAATAGCTTAAGGCTTTGAAACAGCCAACCTTAATTTATCCAATAACCTTACAGGAACTACCTAGTGATAGATATCCTCAAGGCTGTGTAAGAGCTGACTGGATTTCTGTACAAATGTTAGATTTGAGGAGATTCAAAGCAATAGACTCATATGGCATCCACTCATCTTTTGTGAAGCAGTTGTTAAACTCATGGTTAATTTGTAATAGAATTACCCCTCAAGATTGGGGAGAATTGGTTACAGCTGTCTTAGAGCCTGGTGTAAGGATGAGGCTAAGGCCATTGAACAATGAAGTAGTGATAGAAGTATTGCAATTTGCCAAGATCAACTTCTTGGAGAAGGTGATAATGCTGATACATAAAGACAATATTTATATGATAACCAAACCCTGGCTTTATGCTGCATGGCAGCCTTGAATGCTTGGGATAGAATTGAAGAAGTAGGAAAGAAAATAGAATCATTTACAAAAGTTATACAGGACCCAAAAGAAACCTTCACTGATTTCTTACAAAGATTGACTACAGCAGTAAATAGAAAGAAAACAAATTCAGAAGCTAGACAGATAAGAATTGAATCTCTGGCTTTTAAAAATGCTAATGCTCAATGAAAAAGGGTAATTAAACCATTAAAGGCAAAATCAGCACCCTTGAAGGAATGGATCCAAGTTACAATTAATATTGACTCTCATGATCATGATGATGCTTGGATAGGAGAGGTGATTTCCAGAGGTTTGAAGAAAAATCGTAATGTCAAATGTTTCAATTGTGGTAAACAAGGTCACCTAAGAAGGGACTATAAACAGGGTGTTCCTAGAAACAATGTGTAGTTGGAAGTTTTCCTGTGTCCCAGCTGGCTGGTGGTCAGGACAAACATCTCCCACTCACATCCCCCAAGGAAACACACAGAGGTTTATATTAATTATAACTGCTTGGCCATTAGCTCAGGCTTATTACTGACTAGCTCTTACACTTAAATTAACCCATAATTCTTATCTATGTTTAGCCACTTGGGTTGGTACCTTTTCACAATTCTGCCTTGTCATCTTGCCTCTTCTGTATCTGGTTGGTGACACTTGACTCTGACTGTTCCTCTTCCCAGAATTCCTTTAGTCTGCTCACCTCACCTATACTTTTTGCCTGGCTACTGGCCAATAAGCATTTTATTAAACCAGTGTACAAAAGCATTATCTCACAGTGACAATGTTTTTTCAAGGAAAAATCCCAATGGAATGCCCCTCCCTTCTGGATTATGCAGAAGATGTGGCAAAGGTAGACATCAGACTAATGAATGTAGATCAACAAAGAACAGAGAAGGTAATCCGTTGCCTTTGCTATAGGGATATACCCTGAGGGGCTTCTCACAGGCCCCAATGTCAAATTCTGTTCAGTCCTTTCCTGTCATCATAGAAGAAACTCCTTCCCAGAGCAATTAAAGATACTAAAGCCTATTGTAAAAAAATCATACTGCTCAGGGTGATAGAACAGCTATAAAAGAGAAAACAAAAAAATCAGGAGAAACCATAAAGTAAATTTTCTGGCAAACTACTATAAATGAACAAAGATCAAAATTAAAAGTATGAATAAATGACAGTCATTGAAGGTCTTGAAGACACAGGTATGGATGTAACAATAATTGCACCAGAACCTTGGCATCCAAATTGGTCTCTTTAGAAGGTAAATATTCAGCTTTTAGGGATTGGAATATTATCCCAAGTGAAACAGAGCATGAGCTGGGACAAATATATAAGTCCAGAAGGACAGAGAGGAAAATTAAAGCCATATGTGACTAATATAGCTATGAATTTATGGAGACATTATTACAACAATGAAATATCCCAATTAACATCCTCCAATCTCAGAAACAAACCATAAACTAACACATTTCTGAGAAAAATATTAGAAGGTATTATAAAGAACAGTCACCAGCCATCCAGATTATACAAGAACAGGGCACAACAGCTGCTGATCTTTTGAAAACACCAACAGCCCTACCTTTAAAATGGTAAACAGACAAGCCTGTATGGGTTCAGCAATGACCTTTAATAACAGAGAAACTACAGGCCTTGGAAGAGCTGATACAAGAGCAGACAAATGCTCAGCATATTGAAGAATCAGCCAGCCCTTGGAATTCTCCTGTATTTGTTATTAAAAAATAAATCTGATAAGTAGAGAACAGTAACAGATCTAAGAGCTGTTAACAAGGTAATTCAGCCAAATGGCTCTCTATAATCTGGAATTCCTTTGCCTTCTCTCTTACCTAAAGGAGGGCATCTTATATTTATCGATTTAAAAGACTATTTATTTTCAATAGTCTTACAAGAGAGAGAAACTTGCCTTAATGGTGCCTACTTATAATAATTCTCAGCCAGTCAAGAGATATCAGAGATATCAATGGAAGTTTCTCCCACAGACAATGTTAAGTAGACCAACCCTGTGCCAATATTTTGTATGACAGCGATTGGAAGTAATACACAAACAATTTCCTAAATCTATAATTTGTCATTACATGGACAATACTGGCTGATTCAAATGCAGATACATTAGAAAGGATGTTTGAGGAAGTAAAGAAAATTCTGCCTTGTTGGGGATTGCAAATTGCTCCTGAAAAGATAGAGAGGAGATTCTATTAATTATTTAGGATGTAAAATAAGTCTACAAAAAATTAGACCCCAAAAGATGCAAATTAGGAGAGATCGATTACAGACTCTTAATGGCTTTCAAAAATTATTAGGAGACGTTTCCAATCTACTGACCACTGTTGGGGTAAAAAATGATGAACTAAGTAATTTGTTCAAAACCTTAGAGGGACTTAAATAGTCCAAGAGAATTATCAGCTGAAATGGAGAGAATTGACTTTGGTGGCATAGAAAACACAGGATACACAAGTGGATCATTTGGATCCAAAGCTTGATTGCATTTTGGTTATTTTACCCTCTAAGCATTCCCCTACAGGAATTTTAATGCAGAGGGAAGATATTATATTGGAATGAATATTTCTACCAAATAACTAGAGTAAAAAAAAAATAAAACTTATGTGGAAAAGATCTCTGAGTTGATTTTAAAAGGAAAATTGAGACTTCATTCATTAGTAGGAATAAACCCAGCAGAAATTGTAGTACCTTTAACTAAGGATGAAACTGACAAATTATGGGCAGAAAGTGAACCTTGGCAAAGAGTTTGCAGTAATTTTTTGAGAGAGATTAACAACAAATATCCCAAAAGGGATATAATTAAACTTATAAAGAGAACTAACTGGATCCTGCCTCACATTGTAAGGGAAATATCAATATCTGGAGCCCCTACATTTTATACCAATGCAAACCAATCAGAAAAGGCAGGTTACAATTCAGAAAATTTAAGTAAAGTGGTTTAAAGTCCTTATAATTCTGTCCAAAAATCAGAATTATATGCCATTCTGATGTTATTAATAGATTTTTTGGAAATTCTCAACACAGTTCCTGACTCTCAGTATGCAGAAAGAGTGGCCTTACATAATGAAACTGCTGAATTTATCTCTGAGGAGTCAGAATTAAATTTGTTATTTATTGAATTACAAGATATAATCAGGAATAGGAATCATCCCTTATATATAACTCACATCTGATCCCATATGGGTCTGCCAGGTCCTCTAGCACAAGGTAATGATGAGATTGATAAACTATTGATAGAAAATGTGCTGGAGGCCTCAGAAATTCATAAAAAACATCATGTCAATAGTAAGGATTTAAAAAAGGATTTTTCCATAACCTGGCAACAAGCCAAGAAAATTATAAGGAAATGTCCTACTTGTTCTTTATACAATCAAACTCCACTACCAGCAGGATGTAACCCAAAGGGTACTCAGAGTGATGAAATCTGGCAGATGGATGTATTTCATTTTGTAGAATTTGGAAAACTGAAATATGTACACCATACTATTGATTCAGGATTTCAATGGGCAACTGTTCTGAGTTGCAAAAAGGCTGATTCTGTAATCATGCCTTTGCTAGAAGTTTTGGCCATCATGAGTATACCTGTACAAATTAAACTGACAATGCTCCAGCATAGGTCTCTAGTAAAATGAAAGTTTTTTGCTTATTAAAATATAGAGCATATTACAGGTATACCACACAATCCTACAGGCCAAGCAGTCATAGACAGATCAAACAGAACTCTAAAGGATATGCTAAATAAACAGAAAGGGATAACAAAACCCAACAGAAATAGATTACATAATGCTTTATTAACTTCGAAACTTCTCAGTGATAATGAGAAAGGAACAACAACTGTGGAGAGACATTGGATAATAGAAAAAAAACTACAGAATTAAATCAGCCTATATACTTTAAAGATGTACTGAGCTCAGAATGGAAACTAGAATATATATTACATTGGGGACGAGGTTTTGCATTTGTTTCCACAGAAGAAAAGCTAAGGATACCATCAAAATTGATAAAGGTTTGATTTGAATGAGACACCTCTTAATTAGAAGAGGTGTTAGTTCATCAACTAGCATGACCATTCAATTTAAACTAACCTATACCACTAACAATTTTTTTGCATTTGATCAGATATAACTTGCCAAAAGGGAATTTCTCCAAAGTTAGGGTTGGGGAATGGTTTTGTTTTTGTCTTTCAGGAGAATGAAGGCTGAGGAATCTGAAGAACACTGGACAAATGAGACATCTAAAGAAAAAGGAGAAACCATCCAGAAAAAAGTGTCCCAAGAAAAAGAATAAATTGGTCTATTGGTATATCACATATCTAACAGGATAAAATTTCATGTCTTCTTAAATGTTTGTTTCTGCTGTTCTCTACAGACACATAACATAAATGGTCTTTAGGTAGTCCCAGTTCAATTAAAAATTAAAGCTGGCTTTGGAGTTGTAGTGTGGCTCTCTCCTTCTCTAAACTCAACCATGTTTGTTAAAAGAAAACGCAAAATCTCTGTATGTCAGAACAGCTACCTGATATGGGACAGAAGAAAAATGAAAATTAAGAGTCTATTCTATTGCTAGTAATCTCATGATCCTTTGGTTTTATTTTGACTCTTTAAAACTTAAGGTATGAATTTTATATCAAAATTTGTAAGATTAACATACATATATATTTTAAACTTTTTCATATTAATGGTCATATAGAGTTGTAGCTAGAGTTTTCCTGCCTTGCCCACAGTCAGGACAAATCTTTGTCACCCGCCAGTCCCACAGCCGCTCAGACCCAACCAAGTAAACACAGAGACTTATATCGCTTACAAACTGTATGGCCATGGCAGGTTTCTTGCTACTGTTCTTAAAGCTTAAATTAATCCATTTCTATAAATCTATACCTTGCCACGTGGCTCGTGGCTTACCGGCATCTTCACATGCTGTTTGTCATGGCAGCTGGCAGTGACTCCCTTTCCCTTCCTGTTCTTTCTTTTCTCCTTTCTGTTAGTCCCGCCTATACTTCCTGCCTGGCCACTAGCCAATCAGTGTTTTATTATTGACCAATCAGAGTAATTTGACATACAGACCATCCCACAGCATAGAGTACTAGCTCATTCTAGAGAAAAGGCTTCATCTAGCTTCCTGTACATTTCAGGTTTGAATCTCTATCAGTTTTCTGTAGTGAACCATGACCATACCCAACAGCGACTTTGAAGTCTCCAAAAAGATGGAACCCACAATTTCATCAGGCCTATGATAATGCCACCAAGCTGACAAACACCCCCAAAGATCGGCTTTGGACTACAAACTGCTCAGAACAATTTCAAGATGGCTAGCTGAGATGATACAGCCTCACAGATTACTCGAGACAGGACTTCAGTCAAGCCCTATACTTTCACATTATGCAGAGACTGGACAACAATGATACAGCTACCTTTCCCAGGACTTGACAATTAACCCGAACAATTTTCTTTTCAGGATACCCCAAAGATGCCTTTACCCCCAGAGAGCAGAAAGTAATTTTAAGAACATGAAGCCCACATTCCCAAGAGGTGGGGTGGATGACTTTTGACCTTTCAATGGGTAATGGATATTTGTCATCGTTTAGGATGGTTGGTTACAAGTTGTAAATTGATAATGGTCAGGAAAAAAGCTAAACAAAGGATATTAAATTCAGGTTTCTTGTTTGAAAAAAAAAGAGGATATAAATAAGAGGTAATTATTGAATATGAAAAACAAAGATATTGAAATGATAGGATAAAAGGGTAGATTATTGAATCTACTCTGAAAAGAAAAAGAGTATGGATATGATAAGATAAAAAGGTAGATTACTGCCGGGCAATGTTGGTACACAACTTTGATCCCAGTTCTTGGGAGGCAGAGCCAGGTGGATCTCTGTGAGTTCAAGGCCAGCCTGGGCTACCAAGTAAGTTCCAGGAAAGGTGCAAAGCTACACAGAGAAACCTTGTCTCAAAAAACCAAAACAAAAAAACAAACAAAAAGGTAGATTACTGAAACTACTTTTAGAAAGCAACTACTAGTTTTAAACATTTTACAATGGAGTGGATTTTGTATATTGTATATAAATTATGTATATTGATACAAATTTGGGACTGATTTTTAAAAAATACTGTACATGTATTTCTAATCTTGTCCAAGGTATGTATTGTACCTATACTGTTCATTTAACAATGTAATGCAAATCTGTAGTCCTTGAAAGTTATTAATCAACTAATTAGGATATAAAGAAATGCAGGTTAGTAGTTAGTCACCTATTACAATCAGACTTGTAGTCAGGTTAGGTATGTTTTCAAGGTCAGAAATATATATTAGATAGGTCATCTTCAAACACTTCAGAGATCTAAAGAACATGGCATTTAAGATGTTTTAATAACATATTCTTTTTTTTATAAAATGAGACATGTCTGCTCCTGGCAGCACCAATCTACTTGAGAGATGATGGGTACGGATGAAACTCCTTATGGAGTTTACTTTCTTTGTGGTAAAAGTTAGCCACTGGGCAAGAAAGTGTCCTTACCTTGACTGCTGACAGTATGCTGTCCAAAATGGACAAGCAGGACACAAAAGAAAGGACTACTGAATTTTACCAAGACAAAGTAGGACAGCCCTTCAGAAAATCCTGCTTCCCAAAAAGTCTGTCAGGTATGCTAAGCCTGTAGGCCAAAGATGCATGCACCAACATTGCAGAGGAACTTCGGGTGACTGTACGGGCAGCCTTATGTCCCTGTCATCAGGTAGCATTACATCCTTCTGGAGTCTTTAATGGAGTTGAAGACTAGAAAGTTATAATAAAAGATAAATTAGATACAATACTTTAGACTCACCAAGATAAGATAGATAATAAAGTATTTTCTCTAATTTTGTCAAATGAAAATGGATTGGATATTATTACTGTAATTTACTTAATAACTTTTTTTTACTATATTAAGGTTAAACCTTTTTTTTTAATTTTTTTAATTTTTATTTTGCAATACAATTCAGTTCTACGTATCAGCCACGAATTCCCTTGTTCTCCCCCCTCCCACCCCCTCACCTTCCCTCCAGCCCACCCCCCATTTCCACCTCCTCCAGGGCAAAGCCTTCCCCACGGACTGAGATCAACCTGGTAGACTCAGTCCAGGTAGGTCCAGTCCCCTCCTCCCAGGCCGAGCCAAGCGATCCTGCATAGGCCCCAAGGTTAAACCTTTTTTTAATTAAATAAAAAAAAGGGAAATGATGTGGGATAATGCTCTTGTACACTGTAAAGATTTGTCACTCAAATTGGTTTAATAAAACGCTGATTGGCCAGTAGCCAGGCAGGAAGTAAAGGCGGGGCGATCAAACTAAGAATGCTAGGAAGAGGAAAGGTGGCTTTAGAAGTCTCCAGCCAGCCACAGAGCAAGCAAGATGAGAATGCCAAACTAAGAAAAGGTACCAAGTCATGTGACTAAACATAGACAAGAATGATGAGTTAATTTAAGTGTAAGAGCTAGTCAGTAATAAGCCTGAGCTAATGGCTGAGCAGTTATAATTAATATAAGCTTCTGTGTGGTAATCTGGAAGAAGCTGCTGGGTATTTGAAAGTTGTTGGTGGAACAGAAACTTTTGCCTACACAACTCTGCTATACTCATAGATAAGTGCCTTATTCAGCCATCATCAGAGAAGCTGCCTCCTACAGTAAAAAACAAATACAGCTGGAGATTACATGCACACACACACACTCACACACACATTGGAACACTCATCCCTAAATGGGGTGCTCATTAAATCTATCCTCTAAGAGTTCAGAGAACCCCAAGGAAGAGGAGGCAGAAAGAGTGTAAGAGACAGAGGTGAAGCCAGGCGGTGGTGGCGCACGCCTTTAATCCCAGCACTCGGGAGGCAGAGCCAGGCGGATCTCTGTGAGTTCGAGGCCAGCCTGGTCTCCAAAGCGAGTTCCAGGAAAGGCGCAAAGCTACACAGAGAAACCCTGTCTCGAAAAACCAAAAAAAAAAAAAAAGAGACAGAGGTGATGGAGGACATCAGAACAAGGCCCTCTGAATCAACTAAGCACAGATCCCATGAACTCATGGAGACTGAAGCAACAAGCACTGGGCTTGTGTGACTGCACCACATCTTTTGTGTATATATTATAGCTTTCAGTTTAGTGCTTTTATGGGACTCCTGAGTATGTGAAGGAGTGGGTCTCTGAGTCTTGTGCTTTCTTTTAAGTTCTATTCTGTCTGTTGGTTTACCTTGTCCAACTTCAAGGCTTTTATCTTACTATATTTTAGCTTATTAAAAAAAATCTTTTTATAGTCTAAAAGAAATAATCCTATAAATTCACAATGGAGCTAAAATGTCCAAAACAAAGTGATGTTATAGCTGTCTTGATTCTATAGCACATAGCCTTGACCACTGACCTATGGTGCCTCAGTAACAAGAGTGAAATGCTGACTCATAGTAGTGTAAAAATGCAACACAATTATGTACAGTACACAAAACTGATAGTGGTAACAAACAACCATGGTATTTATTTATTTGCTATTTTTGTCACTATATTAAAGTGACTTTTACTTACCTCCACCTTTTACTGTCTTCATTGCATCAAGAGGCCAAATCAAGGGACTGATTTTGATCATGCAAGCTTATGTACTCTGTGATGTTTGCACAATGGCTAACTTACCTATAGATGTACTTCTCAGGACATACATTTTATTGAGTGATATAATGCCACATAGGCGGAGAGAGAGAGCGAGGGAGAGAGAGAAAGCGAGGGAGAGGGAGAGAGGGAGAGAGAGAGAGAGAGAGAGAGAGAGAGAGAGAGAGAGAGAGAGAGGTATAAGAGAGAGAGAGAGATCAGTGGTCATTTCAAAGCATTTACTTCCCATCATTACGTGGGAATAATTCTCCCAATTTTTATTTGAAATTGTGTAATAAGACTTTTATTCAAAGTTCACATAATAACCAAAATGAAAGAACATGTTTGGAGTGAGAATCTTTTAATATTTATTTCCAGAGAACAATAAATACAGAAATTATAAGCAATGTAAGTAACAGTAATATTTCCCTACATACAGACAGCACCTACTTTTATACAATTTAACAAGCAAATACCTTTATTCACCCAGGAATTACCATTGAGAAAAGCTATACAACAGAAAAGAAATTACCATTAAATTAAAAACTATTCATTTTTGATCCTAAGGACTGAGGTTCTCACTCCAGTGGTCCATCAGAGGTGCAGAAAAGCTGAAGAGCTCAGCTCAGCTCCGGGCAGCAGCAGTCTGAGGCTGCTCCGACTGGAGCTGTTTGCCAAGATATTCCCTAGAAAACAAGAACATGGTAGTATGGCAAATTAGGACTTCAATACAGAAAATCACTGTCAAGACTCAAAACTTACTAATAAAATAACCCCTGGAACCTATACTTCTCCAGCTTTCAAAAGCTTCTGTGCTGTAGGAATGCTACCTATTTCTACATACAAACAAGTCATGGCCCACACAGATGGTAATTCACAAAATGTCGGGGAGAGTTGACTTCCCTGCTTACATGAAGAGATTACTACTACATTTGCAATATGAGTTTAGCAAGTAACCTGATTCCAAGGGAAAAACAAATTTCCTAGTGTTAAAAACATGCACATGTATAACCTAGAGTGAACACAAGGGCAATGAAAATAAACCCTTGACAGTAACATCAAAAGTCAGAGCTCTACACTGTACGCATTGCTACAGCCTTAAACCTACACAAAGACTACAGTATTGAATCCACAGCTATCATGGCAAGAGTGTGGGGGTCTGTTCTTTACCACCACCACCACCCCACAAGAATTACCCCCAACTTTTTTTTTTTTTTTTTTTTTTTACAATCAACTAATACGGAAAAGAAACTATTTTAAATGATCCTTAAATTTTTATTTCCTCTAGTAAAAAAGAAAACAGCCTCAGTTTGGAATGATGAGATGGGTTTGTACTTGAGTTCCCTCCTACCACAATTGTTGTGAGACTAGAGGGCACATCTTTCTGCAAGGACTAAGACAGACACAGTATGGGGCACATGGCCCAGCAAGGCATTCCAGGGTCAGGGCCAGAGACATCCTCCCCACCTCCTACTGCATCAACTGGTCACTCAATCACTTCTTTCATGAGCACCACCAGGAAACAATCTTTGGGTGCCATATAAAAGTGCTTTGTTGTAGTTTTTTGCCCTTAGTTGAGTGTTCTTAAAACTGACTCATTGATTTGGAGTGCTAAAGCATGTATTATTCTTAGGGTCAAAGAACTATCTGACATAATGTTTACAATTGTGAAGGCCTAGACTTAACTTTACAGGCTCAGGAATATGCCATAACTGAACAGATACAGAGCAGTATCCTCCTGCAGACATCCTGTCTGCTGTTTATACAGAAAAGCCTAACAAGATCCAGATACTCCTGCTTATACATGAAAGGAAAGCTTAACAGGATGCTGTCTGTGGTTTATGGCCCTTGGAGATATCTAGATAATCCTGATGAGCAGTCCAGATAATCCTGTTCAGTGGGTTGTGGTTCCCCGCCAAAAGTCTAGACCAATAGTTTCAAAAAATCATCTTGCCCCTTCTACCCAATCCCAAGTTGCCAATTCCCAGCTTGTGGTTTTTCCCTATAAAAACCTGGGCTCGTGCCCATCGCCACATTTCCTTCCATCTGTCATGCGACAGCCCAGGTTGAACCTGAATAAAAGGATCCTTATGTGCTTGCATCAGAAACCGGCTCCTTGGTGGTCTCTGGGGGTTTTGCAAAATGGGTACAACACAATGAGATTATTATTTCCAACAAAAAGTATTATCTACTGTACATGAAGGCAGAGTCACAGGCATGATTTTGAAAGAGCTGTGTCGAGGTCTTCACAATCACAAGTGTCATTGCAATCTAGATGACCCTATAATAATGTCCACCCAGGTCAGAGGGAAAGTACATCCTCTGACAGCCCAGTGGGGTCTACTGTAACTGGTACACACAAGTAACAATGTTATAACTGCTGCAAACCACAGGAAAATGTAATGCAATTCGCTACTATGACAAAAGCTATTACTTGGAAAGGTCAAGGACTTTTCTGAAGGCCCATGGCTTAAAAAGTCTTGGTGATATTTTAGCTTTTGTATATATATATTAGCTGGTTCCTGCGACGATTTTCTTGTATGCTTCCAAGAACTCCTAACAGTGTATTTATCTGATATACTTCTCATGTATCCTAGGCCAAAACAGCAAACAGACCAAATTCTGTCTCCTGAATTAAAATAAACACCCTTAGGTTTATGTCTCCTAGGCATAGCTTTATTTCTTGTGCAAACGAAGGTCAGACCCTGCTTTCTCTCACAACTCAAATGTCTTTCTAGAGCAACTGACTCAGAACAAAAGGGCTTTTTGCATACCAGGTGCAAAGTATTGAGGCAGGTTTCCTAGCTCCTAGCAGAGTTACCCGCCCTGCCAGTATATGGCAGCATAGGAAAATAGAGGCAGTTTTATTTTAGTGACTTATAGACTCCTTTACCTAACCACCTGTAAGATTGTAATTTGAGCTCATTTATGATAGACTTGTAACGTTTCATCCAAATCACTTCTAAGAATGTATTTTGAGCACATAAATTCCCTTTCTGATTTATTCCAGGCCTTATCCGACCCCACCTCCTCTATTCACTCCCCTTTTGGGTTGCAAATGAAGCTGGCTATCATGGTTCTGGTAGGGAGCTTGGAAGCTCTGCTTTGTATTGTAAGGGTCAGGCTGCTGGTAGGAGGAAGGGGAAGGAACCAGGATGGAGATTAACAAGGATGAAGATGAGGATGGAGACTGAAAAGAGTTGGAGTTATGAGAAGACAAGAAGAGACAAAGAGGAGCTAAATATGAGAATAGAGTTGAAGCTGTGTAGATAGAATTTAATCTCAGAGGAATAAAGGACATGGATGAAAGAACCCAGTGTACTTAAATTATTTTCCCACAGAATACCTCTACCATTAGTAGTGTCTCTTCTGAGCCCATGGGAAGGAAATTAAAGAGGCAGGCCCTCAATAATTTCTTAAACATAACAGGTATAAACAAGTCTTTCATTTATTTGCAGAGGTTTTCTCTGGTTGATACAGAACACACTTTTCTGGCTCTATATAGTGGCTGTTGGATCACTTCAGCAGCGGCACCTTTCTGAGCAACACTGGTGGTACAAAAATTCTCAAGTGACCTTCTGTCTGCTTTTGCTCTCTTTAGTGGTGTAAGCTCAGCTGCTGATATGATATGAAAGAAGTGAGCTGCAGCAATAGAAGTAGTTGCAATATTCTGTAAAGTAGCCAGGTAGTGGCCCAGAAGTGGCAGAAAGAACTAAGAAAAGCAGAAGTAAAAAAGGCAGCAAGAGAGCATTGAGAATTGAAGCTAAAGAACAGAAGGCTGTTAGGAGTGAAGGATGAGAAACTAAAGGCCCTGGCTGTTGGCAGAGTTCTAGAGACTGCAAGGCCATAAAGGTCAAGGATACAGGACACTTGCGGCCCAGGAGTTCTAACACCAGTCACTGTCAGGGGCTAGGGACTCCCACTTCCTTGGCTGCACAAGAGTTTAACACTACCATGGGGCTAAAGTTCCCACAGCCCAATTCAAAGCTGCAACATGAGGTATCATGTGCTGCAGCTTACAGCTATCTGTGGTTGCCACCAACTGCTGCCAGAAACCAAGGCTGCTTCTCCTCACCTGCCCCCAATTCCCATGAGGGGAGTAAAGGACCCCAGCCAGCTGACTGTAACAAAGGAAGAGAATACTAAGGTATAGCAAAGGTGAATTGTTCTGACACGCTCACACAAAGCTTCCTCTTTGCTCCTTTCCTGTGCCCATTTGTTATCAAGCACAGACCATGGATGAGAAAGCCATTCTGTTCCTATTTCTCTCATTTGTTCATACATATAAGCTGCCTAAGAATCACCTAGTACATGACTTGGGAGTCTGACACAGAGACAGATTCCCTGAGAAGTGTAGTGCATACAATTAATCCCAGTACGTGAGAAGCAGAGATGGGCAGATCTCTAAGAGTTTGAGGCAAACATTGCATAGAGAGTTCCATGCCACCAAAAGCTAGATAGTGAAACCCTTTCTCAAAAGAAATCAATCTATCAATGCTTCCTCTTCTGTCTGCTGAGCTTTTGTTCTTCAGGATTTGAGGAAAGATTAGAATGTGTACAGATCTAAAGGCCTTGAGAGGATCTTCTGAGTCTCCTGAACCATATCCCCTTACCCCCACCCTGCACAAGGGAATGTTAATAAGCCTGATGTCATGAGAGTCATCTGTAGGTATTCATAGCTACTCTAATTCAAGAAATCAAGGGCCATGTCCAACCCAGAGGGAACAAACATAACACAACACAGTAAGACTTTACAACAGACTGGAAACTGGAAAGATATACTAGAAACTCTTCTTTCTTTTGTTCCTACAAGGCTGTGATTAGACATGGTGAGATGAGCTACTGGGGTTCTACTTTTGGGACTTGAAGAGGCCCTGGTCATATGAACTCTCACAACAGAAATGCCTTCTGTTAGAATTCTGCCCTCACTCCAGCTACATGACCACACATGCGCAGTTCAGGAGTTAAGCAAAGGGTCTTGCATCTCACATCATCAGTGTGCGCTGGCAACTGTGTGCGCTGGCAACTACGTCGCGCCGCCATAGTCATGCAATCAGCGCATGTGTGGTGTAGCTCCCTAAGCCCACTTCACTGGGAGCCCTTAAAAAGCCGGATGCAGACCCCACCCTCTCTCTCTCCTCTGCTCTCTCTCCCCCACCCCACTATCTTTCCCTCTGCTCTCCCCATGTTGCTTCTTTCCCAGGCCTGGTTCTTCTCCCCCA